GGGGGGCAATTGCCCCCCAGATATATAGTTAAAAAAGGCACTGAGTATTTCTGCTCATAACTCACAAAAACTATTTTGGCTTCATCAAATCATAGGCCTTCATCATAGCAGTTAGCCTTTCAGTTTACTTATATTTCAATGGTCTAATGCCAGACTCATTTACTCATCAAGGGGGAGCGCAGATCAAAATATTTTAGGATCTTAGCAAACCATATTTTTGCTTGAATAAATATTGCAAATAATTTCGTCTTGTGTGCCGTTCTCTGCTTGTCAAACAGGAACAAATCGAACCTTTTTGGCAGAGTCAGAGATTAAATATACAGTAGTACCAAGAGAAAACAACACCCACTCAGGGTGCAATCGTTCAAGATTTTTAGTCGTACCTGACTGGCACGCGAATGGTTGTTGCCGTGTACTTGCGCTAGTACAAACTCAGTACTCAATGTGTACATAAGATTCATAAAGTACAGGTTTGAAAAGTATGTTCAGACTACGAGGTAGAAAAAGAAGCACAATTGCATATACAAATAATCGACTCCAACATTTCTTAGTGCCATCAGTTCCAGGCCTTAAAATATCGGTCGGTCACGGACATTGTCCGACCCATTCGTCAAATTGTCCGACGTAGAGAGGAAACCACCGGACATTCAGTCCGACCTAAATGAAACTGAGATTTATTGTTTGTCCGACCCAAGTGAATTGGTGTCGGACCGAACTGTAACTTTGTCCGACGCTTTCTCCACGCACGTAAATCAAAATGTACCCTAGTCCAGGACTAGAGGCTCGTATGTTATAATGGAGAATTAGAGTATTGTACAAAAATGAACCGGAAATGTTTTCATTTAGTTCAGAATTAATACATTGTGCATTATTTGTGCTGATATTAATTTGCGTCATTCAGACTTATTTCCGAGCCAAACTGAACTGAAGGTCATTGGACATTATCATACACATGTCCGACCCAAACTCAATGTCATCGGACATTTTGTCAGACGGCCCTGTAAAAGATATTTTAAGGCCTGAGTTCAATCATGTTTCATGTCAAGACATCTCAAAGACATGATATATTAACTCAAGACATCTCAATCACATAATATACTAACTAAATTACGGTATTGAATACATCAGTTGGGCTTGGAAAAACGAAATACGCAGCAAAAAGGAAGTACACACGGTACGCACAGCTAGCAAGAGTTCCGTGTACATATGTGGCTGAGTACCAGACCGTAATATTGGCGGACCTCAGGTAGCGAATAGACCTTTTTCCCTTATGAGTGAAATTTTGATCTAGATATGCCTGGACAAAAATTTCATCACAGCTTGAAAGAGCATCACAAAATTAGTAATATTCCGAAGTTTAGTTTTTTTTAAACAAACATAAAGCGCATTCGTAATAACTTTGCTGCTAAAAATAACATATGACGAACTGTGACAATGCAACTTCCTCATTTCCTAAGAAACACTCTTAAACGATTCGGTATCTGCTGGAGAAATATGAACTGAATAAAACATAGAAAACCAACAAAATAAGACCATATCATATACAATAAAATGTACAAAATTCCAGCATACTGCAAATCACTAGTACTATTGTCTGGTGTTATATATAGGCCGAACATGGACGCATTTCTTCTTGTTAGACAAAATTGCTGCTACCCAATGCACTACTTTACATAACACTCACATGCCTAATTATCATGGTATACAGAAGCATATAATAGAACAAATGCATGCAAGTTAGAACAATAGAACAAAGGCACATATCAATCCATTTAGCCCCAATATGTGCTGTCTTATGATTTGACTTGTAATTCACATAACAAGGAAGAGCCCTTGTGCATTTAATCAATGCACTTCCTTGTACCATTAAGGAAGAAAGGCCGAGGAACCGATTAACATACTCCCACCAAAGTTTTCATGGAAATGCCCATATTAAGAACAAGTCCTGTTTTCTTTATGAGCACTTACTACAAGGAATTTCCAAGATGGCTGTACTATATCTGCCATCACTCAAGTCATATATAAAAAAGCTAGTATATATCCTGAAAATTCAGCGTAAGAAGTTCACAGGATACTGTACGTGAGAACCATTCCAAAAAGGATGCACAAACCCTGCCCCCTGGCCCCATAAACGAGAACATCGGCAGTGACATTTTAAACAAAGAAGCTTTGTAAATCTTTGACAAAACTTCACATTACAGTCTGCTTCTCATTTTCACTGGAATAAACACTTGATCATTTTCTGTGCAAAGCCAACGGTGACCACAATCTTTATTTAGGTATGGTGCATAATCATTCCTTCGATGATCTAATGCTCTTGTGTGGGTCTGTTTTCTCAGCCGACTTCACATTTGTGAAATTTAAAGTATGTTAATTAAAAGAGAAAACAAGTCTATGATTGTGGGAATATATTTGCTTAGTATAATCATTGGGTGAGGCATCACCCGGATATTATGCCAAGTTTTTAACAAGCCTGCAATGCAAATCTAACCCTATAGAAAGTTGGGTAACTTTGAATTTTAAAGCACTGCCCTCATAGCAACATGCCCTCAAGGCAGTAGCCTATATATACATAGGACATGCCCTCAAGACAATGGCCTATATATAGAGAGAGTGACAAGCAAGCTCATAGGTGATGACATATCACGGAACTGAATGCATGTATTAATCCACACTTCCGCAAAGTACATCATTGGTTCCGTGATGGAAACGTTATGCTTTAACTAATGCTGAGTACACGAAAATGAGGCTCCATATAGCCAAAGTGACATACTTTCAGGAAGGTTGTATTAAGTCAAAGCTCCAGACCTGATCATGTACCTAATCAATGCCCCAGACAAGATCATGTAAGGTCTAATTCAACCTTAGACAAGAGCTAAGCTAAATTGCGAAAGACGCAGCTCAACCAAGTCAAAGGATCTCTAAGGGGCCTGTGGCAAGAGCTTATGATCAACCACGGGGGTATAGCTATGGTGGAAGGGTCAATTAGGGGCTTATCGCAAACCACCCTGTCAGCATTCCAGGCCTTAAAATATCTTTTCCAGGGCCGTCTGACAAAATGTCCGGTGACGTTGAGTTTGGGTCGGACATATGTCCGATGACCTTCAGTTCATTTTTGACTCGGAAATAAGTCTGAATGACCCAAATGAATAAACGGTAAATGTTGTAAAAATATTAAATAATTTGTTTTTTTCATACTTATTTCCAAGCCAAAATTAACTTGCTTTCCAGAACAGCAGTATCAAAAAGACTTCGACAACTTAAGCCCGTTTTCCACTTCACCATTTCGCTCGCCGCCCCGTGCTCGACTACGTTAAAACAACATTTCCAGTTGACCTTTTATACAATAGTACTCTGATTTTCCATTTAACACACAAGTTTCTTGTCCTGGGCTAGGGTACATTTTGATTTACGTTGGACAAAGCTACAGTTCGGTCGGACACCAATACACTCGGGTGAGTCGGGTCGGACAAACAATAAACCTCAGTTTCACTTAGGTCGGACAGAATGTCCGGTGGTTTCCTTTCTATGTCGGACAATTTCACGAATGGGTCGGACAATGTCTGTGACCGACCGATATTTTAAGGCCTGCAGCATTCCCTGTGGGAAGAAACTGGAGAACCCAGAGAAAACCCACAACTTTCGATAGAGCATTGAGTACATAACACCAAATAATCATATCATAGAATACACTGATATCGAAGGAACTAGACTCAGTTCCGAAATATCATCAACTCAAACCGACTTGACTGCATAGCTCAGTTGGCAGAGCATTGGACTAGTATCCCCAAGGTCGCGGGTTTGATTCCCACCGTGGCCAAGCTAACTTTTCAGCTTGCCTGGTGCGGATGCACACTCAGAGTAACATCACAAACATCATAAAAATAGGCAGTTATTTTAGTCAACCCAGAGTCTCTCTTTATGACAAGTAAAATTCTTTGTGTATATCGCACCCAATGGGCTTGACTTAGTCTGTAAAATGCAACTTAAAGTGTTAACCACAGGTGAATAGTCTGGTTAACGAATAGACGACTAAGTTAGCAATGTAGCATACAATAGGTACAGGCATCAATAAAGGCATCAATAAAATTAAAATTTGCAGGCACATTTTAAAATTCTGACATTTTAACAATACTTGGGTCACAAAATCTAAATAAGAGGTGTTTTTGTAGGCACATTTTGAATTTCGCTCGCAGACACGAAAAAATGTTAGTGAAGCCCGCGATTGCAGCCTAATGCGTTAACCACATCTTTGCCATGCAATGTCTTGTGTTAACCCACTAAGCTGTAATGCAATGGAATGCCCCCTTCATTGTGACTTTACTCTGTCTAATGCCAGACGATTTTATTTTTCAAGGAGGAAAAGTTGGGCATTGATTGAGTCATGAGAATTCAACTGCCTAATAATTTGACGGTGTACTGAAATGCTCATCAGCTGAGGCTATGCACAGGCACGCATTGAAAAAAATTCAATCAAATATGGCTAATTGACAGACTAGATTTTCATTTTTTACCTACTAATGTAACTGAAAAAGATAAAATCATCAAAATTATCCATTGTGCTAAATGCTAATACAACTTAGGGCATTCTGTCTTCTGGTTGTTAATTGGCAAAATTGAAGTTGCTTAATAATTTATGAAAGACTCTACTTTACTTTATATCAAAAGACTTGTCAACAGCAAGTCAACAGCACTTTTGACATATAAGGCTAAATCAATTTAAATTTGTTTTGACAAGTTAGAAAATTAGATTTACTTCTTAGATGTGGAAATGAATGAGTCACTAATTCGACATACTCTATGAAAAACGTCGAAATACACACAATTTAAAATAGAGTCGACGTTTTCTTTTGCCATTAAATATAGACGCCGAAAGTCTATAGCCTTTGTTTTGAGTGTAAAACATCTGTGCATTAAAAAATAGCGTTAATTATGCTTCTAAAATGATTACGAAATTGAAACCCGCGTGCCATTAAAATTAGTGTCAAAACGGTAAAAATATCACGCTACTCCGTGAAATAAAAATACTTTCCGCATAATCTTTGCCAAAAGCTTTACAAAATACAATTTTATCAAGGGCCCACTCAGGGAAAAGTCCATATTATAACACCAAAGCTTTGGCGAACACAGAGCAAAACAATAACATAGAATTTAAATTTCGCGAGTTTGCTGTGCATTTTCACAATACTTCGGAATTTTTCTATAGAAATATGTGCAAATATTTCACAGTTTCGCTTTTGAAATATGCATAGAACAAGGAAGAAAGCTCTAGCAAGACTTTTGTTTGAATATTTCGAAATTCTCACGGCAGGTTTTTGTTTACAAATTGAAACATTTCAAACACTGGGATGTTTATAATGTTGTATTAAAGTGTACATTTTTTCAAGTTTGTATATTTCGAGACGGAATCGAGCTTTTCCGACGCTTTTGCATATAAAAGCTTTAATTGTTTTAAAATATCTTTCTGCTTATCAGCACGACACGCTTTGGTAAATCACAGTTATTCAAAGATTCTACCGAACAAGACAGAACCATAGGAAATTATTTTCTGTCTGAGAAAATTTCATCTCCGAAATGTGTCTGGTTTGAACGAAAACGACCTTCTAAAAACCCACAAAACGATTTTAACCTAACACAGAGACTCTAAAGCGACCATATATTAGCGTAATTTAATCGAACACAAACTACAAACGGTTAAAAAACGCAAACTGACAAACACAAAATATTACACAAAACAATACGGTATGCTGACAACACCTTACAAATTCAACCTCTCTCGCCTCAAATAAATACTTCAACCGACGCTTACCTTTCTGCCATTGTGTCCTAACGTCTTCCTCAAGAGTTCATCCTTGTGTCAGCCACAGAAGAGAAGCAATGATATGTTTCTAAAGCCATTTTTCACACTGCTAAAAAATTGCCTTCCCCTTGCCCTCCTACAGCGAAGCTTACGTTCCGATGGCTTCGATGAGCGCGCAGACGGAAATGACCTGGGCCCGAGTCGTCTCGCCGCAATCTTTGACCCCTGACCTTGCGTCGAGAAGATGCGGAAGTTGAAACAGCGCGTTGGTGTTGCAAAGATCACACCCAATATTCTTTTTAATTAATTAAGTTGAACACACCGGCAAAGCCAATATCTTGTATTCAGCTAGTTTACTTTTAAAGGGCATTATGAAAAAAAAATTGGCGAGGTGTGACAAAAAACAGGACGTTGTGGTTTTCATTCTAAAATGCAATGGCACTTTCGATTTAATTTTGAAGTATTTTCATTTTCTTTTTAAATACGGATGCAATGAAATCTATAAGAATTTTAATATACGCTTCAAATCAAGACATCAAGAGGTCCAGTGTTACTACAGGAAACTCAAACTAGACTTCCCCTTGAGCTAGGGTGAAGGTGTTACTACAGGAAGGAGCGTAAACTAAACTAATTTTATTTATACTGGATAGCCCTATCAGTTCTAAAATGTTCTACCTAACGGTTCAGTAAGGATCATTCCTTATTGATCCAGCGTTACTACAGGCCGAAACCCAAACTAAACCAGCTTTATTTATGGATAGCTCTATCAATTCTTCCTGGAAATCCGGTTAGAGTCATCTCGTACTGATTACGACAGGAAGAAACTGCCAAGTCATAAATCAACTTCCAAATCATAAAAGTGCACTAACTACGATGCCATTAACAGTGCTAGCATAGTGAAAATTTATTATCTTCCGACAATACAGTTAATTTTAGGGCGCGGTGTAAGTGAAACGAAAATGGAGTAAGCTTTCAATGCAAACAAAAGTGAAATTGTCGAGGGCTACTGCACATGTCAAAATCTCTAGTATTCTATTCCACTCAACCTTTGTCGCTGGGCAGACGCAAAAAGTTTAGGAAAAAGCGCGCGTATACCGTACATTACTCTATCCTTTCAGCAGAACACACAAAGTATGGCTTCGTTGAGCGCGTTCATCAACGTCTTAAAACGGGAACTATTCTCTGCAAGTAAAAAGACACCGTTGAAAACTTTGGTGACAATTCTAGTCGTCTTTGCTTTGGAAAAATTGTTAACAGCAACGAAAACGTTCAAATGTCCAAAGGAAGGCTATCAAGTGTATGGCGGTATGTTCTTATTCGTTCCGGCATTTTGTCTATCGGGTTTGGCTTTGCTAACGAGTAGTTCGTTCTGGGATTCGGCTACAAGTCGGTTAAGAGGTAAATACGGACAAAGAATTGTATGTTCGAATATATGTAGTGATCTGGCGAAGGCAGTTTTGGTCGGAGTGGCTTGGCTTGTGCTGGCGTTTGGCACGACAGATTTTTATGTGTGTTTTCGCGTCGGGGCGACGGAATCGGATAGCAGGAGAGACAGAATACGAGCGGAGTCGACAATGGTGGCTTGGGCAACGCTTGTTGTCATTATAACTACGAGTTTGTTGTATCTTGCGTTGAAGAAATGCTGCTGTTCACGACATCACAGGGAATGTGCTATCCATACACTACGAGACTACGAAAGGTAAGCATAGATATCGAAGGAACTAGACTCAGTTCCGAAATATCACATACTCGAACCGACCTGACCGCGTAGCTCAGTTGGCAGAGCATTGGGCTAGTATTCCAAAGGTTGTAGGTTCGATTCCCTCGCCGCCAGGCATATTTTTCAAGCTTGCCCGGTGTGGATATACACTCAGAGTAACATCACAAACATCATATTCACCTGAGTACATAACACCGGCACAGAAAAAAAAGTATATAGACTTTTATAGTAGTTCTGAATGAAATATCTCAAATAATTAATAATTCATGAGTACATTAGCCAACCATATTGCTTTATTTTGCTCACATGATAATACTGGATACCTGATGAAGAATATTGACCCAGTCCTAGGATGGGATCAAAATTAGTGATTTATTCATATGAGATGTCATTTCAAATCCTCCAATTCGGACTAAACTAGATTTCAAGTGCTCGCATTTTTTGATCCAGTCCTCGGCTTCGCCTCGGACTTAATCAAATTGAGCGGACTTGAAATCTAGTCCAGTCCAGATGTTTAGAACTGATAGAGCTACCCAGTATAAATAAAGTTAGTTTAGTTTAGGGTTTCCTCCTGTAGTAACGCTGGATCAATAAGAGATGATCCTTACTGGACCTCTAGGAAGAACAGTTTAGAACTGATAGAGCTACCCAGTATAAATAAAGTTAGTTTAGTTTAAGTTTCCTCCTGTAGTAACACTGGATCAGTAAGAGATGATCCTTACTGGACCTCTAGGAAGAACAGTTTAGAACTGATAGAGCTATCCAGTATAAATAAAGTTAGTTTAGTTTAGGTTACCTCCTCTAGTAACACTGGATCAATAAGAGATGATCCCCACTGGACCTATAGGAAGAACAGTTTAGAACTGATAGAGCTATTCAGTATCAATGAAGTTAGTTTAGGTTCCTCCTGTGGTAACACTGGATCAATAAGAGATTGCCCTTACTGGACCTCTAGGAAGAACAATTTAGAACTGATAGAACTATCCAGTATAAATAAAGTTAATGTAAGTTAAGTTCCTGGTTAGTGAAAAAACGTTTCGAAAAGTTTACAAGCGAGATTTCGCCTTGGTATGAAAATAATATGAAAAGTTAGTTTACACTGCGTTCAATTCATATAAGACAAAACGTTTTCTCGTGTACGTACCGAGATCTCGCTTGTCAAGTGATTGATATTCTGTGCTATGTCACAGCCGGAAACTTTACCCAGTAAGCGGAATAACGTTTCTCCATGCATGTGAACAGAACAAAAGTATATTTGGCTAGTCGAAAAGTTTTCTCGTTAACCGGGATAACCTTTGCCCATATGAACAGGCCCGTGCCTGGTCGTGTAGAATCAACAGGCCTGTATCCGAGAATCCTTTTCGAATATTTAACAATTATTCGCCAAAGGCGAGGTGATTATCAGGAAATAATCACCGAGACGAAGTCGAGGTGAATATTCCCCGATAATCACCGAGCCTGAGGCAAATAATTGTTTTACAACACTTTATAATAATAATTGTTTTACAACACTCGTGGAAGTTGGGAAAACTCGAAATTGTGTGAAAACACTCCGCCCTTCGGGCGTCGTGTTTCCACACAATTTCTCGTTTTCCCAATTTCCACTCGTGTTGATATAACTGTATATCAACACGGAAAATGTTTTATATTTGTTAAATCATAGAGACTACATTTTAGTATATATTTTTTCTAAATTGTATTTATATATATTGTAGATATGAGGCCCATAATGAAAACTATTGGGAAACCAATAATGTATGTTAGCCTCGTCAAATAAAGTCATATTATTATTATTATTAGTATTTTACACAAGTCTTTTGTGTTTTTTTGGGGGAACTGAATTTATTTTAATTTTGCTTATTTCTTTATCAGTAACTTCAACAAACGGCTAGCCGCCATTTTGCAAATTTCGGTTTTCTTATATTCACCTGTATAGGTAAATATAACAGCTTAATAATACGTCAAATTTGATCAATCAACTTGTAGGATTTGTTATATTCACTTGTGCAAAAATACTAATTAGAGTTTGTACCAAGTAAAATAAATAGTCCACTAATATAGCTTTTATATACTGTATACATTAACCCTGGGATGGCTCATCCTTCTTAGTAGAGGGTAGTAAAGATAATTCGTCGTACATTATCAATCGTATGAATTTAATACAGTCTTAGAAGTTGAAGACATGGGTTTTATGACTCAATTCTTTTCAATGATTTATTGTATTGGTGGCCGTTGCCGTCCTACCCTGGATTCCAGAGCCTTCAGTAAATAATAAATTGAAACGTCGTGAAGGCTCTGGTTAACGGGAGGATTCTTTGATTAAACCGCGCCAATCACAAAACAGAATTAGTGGTTACAGTACGGTTTAATCAAAGAATCCTCCCGTTGAACCAGAGCCTTCACGACGTTTCAATTTATTATTTACTGAAGGCTCTGGAATCCAGGGTATTGCCGTCCTAAAATCGTAAGGTCTCTATAGTATATGCCCAGTGATCTCCATACATATTTGGAGTGAGACGTCAAGTCCAAAAGTGAATGCAACTTCGTGTTATCCGCGCAAAATTTTGATCTAGACAAATCTAGACAAACAGCTTGAAAGAGCATCACAAAATTAGTAATATTCCGAAGTTTCGTTGCGAAATGTTGTAAAATGCGGATGTTATAGCCCTGCGAAGTTTGCCGTTTTTCAGTCATTTTGTATTACGCACAGGAAATTGATACCTTTTTTCAGAAAGCGGTATCAATTTCCCGTGCGTAATACAAAATGACTATCCGCATTTTGCAACATTTCGCAAAGAAACTTTGGAAGCAAAGTACTGATTTCCCCTGGTACGCACCCTGAATCATGACCAAAGTTCCATGAGAGCATACCCCCCTCCCCTCCCCCCTACCAGATCAGGTTGATCCTATATTTGTCCAGTATTTACAATGAGACGTACACAATACACTAAGTTTTTTTAACCTGGACAGTAACAAGCTTACTGTTCGCGGCGACAACAGCTTGAACTGAGGCAATAGTCTGTACGGCACTCTGTGGTATTGTCAATGCTGCCGTACCTGAGCTAGTTACATCCCACTTCGACCTTCGTCTTCTCGCCGCTTCGTCTGTAAGGAAAGCAGGGTGTTAGCTAGCCCATATACTGTCCGTTTGACCGACTCTTCCCAACTGAAGTAGCTAAGAGGCTTTCCCAACTGGGTCTACGGGAAGACTTTCAAATCAAATCAAATCAAATCAAATTTATTTCCGTAGGGTATACCTCATTTTTTCTGATGAGAAAGTGCATTAAGTTAATTGATTTTATATTATTATATCAAAGAAAAGAAGAAGATTAAGAAGAAGATTATATCATGGAATATACAAAACAAAGTGCCATCGGGTGCATTTTTCAGTGTTCATTCACCGGAAATGAAATGTAGAAAACCAAGCTACCGCTGTTTGCATCTAAGGAGAAACACGTTGGAAAAGACGTTGGTTTATTCCTACACAAGGACTTTGATCGGTCAAAAAAACTTTCCCAATTTAGGTTTAACGGACAAAACTTTTTTTTTGGCTAACACCCGGGGCCCCCCGGGCCCCCAGAAAAATTTTTTGGGCCCCAGTCATTTTTTTGGGTCAACTATTTTCGCGCAAAGGGCAAGATATTTGTAAAATACCCAAATTTGGTATGAAGGTTGTTGTCCGAAAATTTTTTTTCCGGAAAATTTTTTTGAAATAGGGGCCCCTAAATAAATAGGGGCCCCTAACTTTCGGCTCAAATGTGCGCATTTTCAGCGCGTATACAAATTAATACGGTTGCTAATGTTGTAAAATGAAGAAAATATAGCCCTGTGAAGTTCGCAAATTGTTTAGTTAGATGTGTTAACAAAAAAACGTTTTGCATACCTGAAGTACCCGACGTACTAGCGCCCGAGCTTGTGCCAGTTGTTTTCTTTGTCGCTGATATAAACTCAACCTGTTAAACATAAATGGTTATTGCTCAGTTTGCGAGTAGATTATGCCACGGTTAATAGAAATATATATATATATATATATATATATATATATATATATCGTTGCGAAATGTTGTAAAATGCGGATAGTATAGCCTTGCGAAGTTTGCCGTTTT